ATATTTAGGGCTTGTTCACACCGAATGCGCTGCGTTCCAGAGCGGCAGGTGCTGGAACGCATCGCGATCCCTCACAAAACTTCCCCCTGCCTTCTGGGGTGGTAGGGGACGTGGCGGTGCGTTGAATTAAATGGCACAGCTTCCACCCCACAACCCCCCCTCGTCTGCAGTGCAATCGGACGCGTGGCAAAACTTTGCCTGCGTTCTGTTCCACTGCAAACGCAAAAAATAGAGCTTGTTACCGCTCTGGAAAGCACCGCATTCCGTGCGTTTCAGCAGCTACCACTCTGGAACGCACCGCATTCGGTGTGAACAAGCCCCTAGATTGCTAAATCACTGTGTATCACAAACCAATGACATGGTTATTTTTTTAAAAAATAGAATACAGTTTTCACCTTTCTGTTATCCTTTGCTACACATCAGCACTGCTGATCTTGCAGCCTCTTTGCAGCAACTTCCTGTATACATGCACAGACTCCAGAGATGGCTGCAATACATTTATCAGATGAGTTTCCTAATGGCAACAACTGAGCAATGTGAGTTGGCGCGACCCAAGTAGTCTCCATAGGTGACAATGCAGTACAACGACTGGGAGACATGGATAGAGCATTGTCACCCTATCACAGGAAGTGCCCAAACAAGGACCTTCATGGCAGGATCACCAGGTGTTATTTTAATGTAAGCAGATTAAAAAATGTCCAAAATGACTTTGGAAATGACATTGATATATTAAAGCTTATGTGAGATTTTAGTCATTGGGTTTATACACATTTGAAGTTATTTTTATGGGGCTCTAACATTTTTACAAGCTTCCTCTATTTTTACTGTAAAAAAAATGCTGACATTTAGTAATTAGTCACTCAAGGGAGGGTCAGTAAGCTACTACAATCATGCAGTCTGCACCACTACTTTAAAGCATTTCTGGGGTGTTTTTACATATACAGGTGAAACTCGAATAATTAGAATATCGTGCAAAAGTAATTGCAGTAAGTGCTGCAAAAGGGGCCCAAACCAAGTACTGAGTACATATGCATGCTTGTACTTTTCAGAGGTCCGATATTGTTCTATGTACAATCCTTGTTTTATTGATTGCATGTAATAATCTACTTTTTTGAGGTTGTGGATTTGGGGTTCTTGGGGTTTTCATGAGCTGTAAGCCATAATCATCACAATTATGACAAACCACGGCTTGAATTATCTTGCTTTGCATGTAATGAGTCTATCTCATATATTAGTTTCACCTTTTAAGTTGCATTAGTGAAATAAATGAACTTTGCACGATATTCTAATTATTCGAGTTTCACCTGTATATTTTACAGGTTTTTAGACATCTTCAATCTTGAGTGTGTTTATTTTAGCCAATGGAAACCTAGTTACTAGGAGAAATCAATTGTTAAGTGCAAATCATGGGGAAAACATGCGTTGTGTTTTTTCAGGTTTTCCCATTGAAATGTATCAAGGCAAAAACGTGCAATTCTGCCCGAAAATAGGTCATGTGCTTTTCCAAGCGACATCACACTCAGGTGTGAACAGGCACCATTAAAAATATTGGGATTCTTCATAAATGCTCTGATGTGAATAGGGATTTACTGCATAACAACTTGACATATCATGCACAAAAGGAGCGGTAATTTTTTCACATCACCGAACTCACAGACTTGCATTAGAAGAAACTTAAAGTGACATTAAACCCTCAGATTTTTTAACATAAAACAATAGTGTAATGTGTGCCGTACTGTAATCCATGGTTGTTTCCCTTCTCTTTGCTGCTCTTCCTTTTAAATTTGTATCTGTTCTCATGCTGGCCAGAACTTCTGTTTTGCAGCAGACTGCCTTGTCTCAGGAATGGATACACGGTGTCTGTGTGTAGGTTTGTATAGGCTTGTAACCTGAGCCAGCACTACAGGAAGAGGCCCTGAGCTGAAAAGGGAAGTTCTACCCAAGCATGAGAAGACATGAGGATTTAAAAGGAAGAGCAGCAAAGAGAAGGGAAACAACCATGGGTTACAGTAAGGCGCACATTACAGTATTGTTTTATGTTAAAAAATCTGAGGGTTTAATGTCACTTTAAAGGAGAACTATAAGGTGAGTGAAAATCACACATCCTCATAGTTCGACCCGACGTGTGACAATGAAACTGTCATACGTCGGCTCAATAGATCGGGAAGTGAGCGAACACATACCGTCGCTCGCTCACTTCTCGATCATCTCCCTGCAGAGAGTGGCGACTGTCAGTCACCGCTCCCAACAGGTATTCCGCCCTCCCCTCTCTGATCCTCCAGCACTGATAGATATACAGAGCCAGCTGTCACTCACGCAGCTGGGTGGATCTGGATGTAATGTCGGGATCCGTCCCAGCAGCGGTGGTCTCAGAATACCGCAAGCTGTAGCTCGCTACATACTGAGCTTTGGGTCACGGGAGGATGCTAGTATATGTCCTCCCGTGACCATTAAAAGAACTATGGAGAAAAATACTTACCCCATAGTTCTCTTTTAAAGAGCAATCATTGCAAAGCAGGAAACAACGCTTGAATATGTAATCAGCAAATATGGCTGCCCAATACAGTACATTATTACAATCAATGCATAGATTTTTTTTTTTTTTTAAGTTGGTAACACATAGTGAAAACATAATTTGCTGTACATTAAGCTGATCTTTTACATACATATCTAAAAAACACAAATAATTGAAAACTTTATAAATTTCCTTTAAAATGTCTTCCTGCAAATGACAACTGAAAAGCTGTCAAATTACAAATATAAACGTTTAGTGCTTAGAAGAAGTAATTATTCCTGCATTTGTCAGCCTGTACGGGGCTGGCACAGTATTGATATTCATTGATGATAGTGTACAGGGAGGGGTAAGTAGCATACTTTGAGAGCAGGACAGAGGTGAGGTCCGAGTCAAGCTGGCCACCAGTAAACAATGGCCAGTCTGACACATTCATTACCTCCTGCCCTCCTCTCAGACAATGAGCCCTCCATGCTCCATCAATGACAGGCTACAAGGAGCCCAAGGATGTAGACACTGTTTGAGCCCAGTTAAACTCCAGATATTGCCAGAGTAATTTTATTTCATGACAGGTACACATATTTATAATCTGTCTAAACACCAACACTATTTAATCTTTTATTGGAGTCCAAAGTTTGACTTTTGGTTCATGCAATACTTATGGGCAATTCAGATTGAGTAATAAAAAAAAAATCAGGCAAGCAGCTCAGTCTATAAACACATTGCAGACATTATTGACTGCGTGGTGGACTTTCCAACCAAAACACAAAATTTACACAGAGTTATTATAATTTGGAAGCTTTCCAAACACAAACTGTTCTCATTTCTACTGTATACCCAAGCCTGGCAAATGTTTAAATTATACGCTTCCTATAATCGTTATGCATTATTTTTCTTTATTTCTCTTCATTTATAAAGTGTCAAAATAAATTGCAGCCTTTTATAATTTGTGGATCTATATATCACTGCAGCATTGTTACATGTTGTGGGCAGAGTTGGATTTCTTCGAGTGAAAATAACAATATTAATAACAATCTGTATGTAATTATTGTGCCATAAGTGCTGCATTTTGGCATTATATAGTAAGAATCATCATTATTATTAGTATTTTATTATTATGATCATCATTATGTAAAGGCATGTTCAAGAAAACACTAATCCGTACTGACCAAATCAGATGCTTCCCTGACCTGACTGTGCATGGTTAAGCTAGGCATACACTAGTAGCTTTCAGGCTGATTGAAAAACAGATTTCTCCATTTATGCCAATTCCCTCAGTGCTTAGCCAGCTGTAGCATTACAGCCCAGTGGAGCAATAATCATTCCTTAATCAATATTAATAGCACCACCACTAATCAAAGCAATGTCTGACTGATATGTCGATTGTAAGTACAAATTCCTAAGGCCCAACTTTGGACTTTTTTTTTTAAGGGCTCCCCAGCCATAGGTAATTCCTTTTTGGCCAGGGCTGAGTAGACTGAGATAATACTGTGAGTGCAGGGTGTCATGGAACTACCCCTTGAGGGCTGGTTCACACCACAAACAGTGCGTTCTAGAGTGGTCAGCCTCTGGAATGCACTGTAGCGCAACACAGCCGCCTCCCTGTGTTCAGGGGCGGGAGGGGGCGTGGTGGTGCATTGAAGTCAATGGCACCACAGCTAAGCCCTCCCCCCACCCCCCGCCCGCAGTGCGATCGCCTGCACGTGTGGCACATCGGTGCCTGCGTTCAGGTCCAGTGTGATCTGTAAAAATAGTGCTTGCAGCATTTTTGCAGATCGCACCTGTACCGGAATGCAGGCACTAATGTGCTATGCATTCGGGTGATCGCACCGTGGGTGGGGGCGTGGCTGCTTTGCCATTGACTTTAATGCACCGCCGTGCACCACCCGCCCCCTGAACGCAGGGAGCTGGCCGTTTTGCGGTACAGTGCGTTCCAGAGGCTAACCATTCGGGAACACACGGTTTGTGGTGTAAACTGGCCCTGAGGGGGCATCACCATGTTGCCCTGTGCTCACAGTGTAATGATGCGTAGAGTGGCAGTGTCGTCATCATGTCAGCTCTGTTATCTGCATCCCTGCCAGAAGACTCAAAGAAAAGTCATGTGACCAGCCAAAAGACTTTTGGAAAAAGGAAGTACAAATATACACACACATGGGGGGAGGGGATACATTGGATATTCCAACTCCTATATACTATTATACCATTGAGGTATGTGACAGTATCTTCAAGCCCTAAATAGCCCGCCTGGTGCCACTATTGGCAATGAGCGTAAATGCATGTGTTTGCACACACGTCGCATGGTGTGCATGACTTTGCCTTCTGTATGTCTTTTTTAGGCACAGACTTAACAGCTCAGATACTCTCTTAAAAAAAACAAAAACAAAAAACCACCACAACCAAACTCATTAAAGTCAATAAAGACACAAACTACTCCCATCAATGAATACCCTTTTCCCCTCGCAATTTCCTCTTTGAACAAGTTACTCACACAGCCGCCAGCCATGATTTCAGCCAGTAACGGAATCGAGCCATCTCGCTGAGTAAACTTGTCTCGAACAAAATCATTCACCTACAAAAAGGAACATTGTTAACATGAGTACACAAAAAGATTACTTTAAGGCATATCTTCTGTACTGCAGTTTGCTTCTTCTGCTTTTTGGCAGAGCTGCTCTTTTCTAGCACACAAACTAAGCAATTTACAGTGCAATCTATAACCAAGGCAAGCTAGTGATGTGATTTGACTTTTAGTCTTATATAATGGGCTCTTCAGGTGCTGTCCAATGACCTGAAAAGAAACATAGTTCGGTTTATTATCTTACTCTGTCTAACAGATAAAATGTAGTGACTAGCCGCCCATGATTGGGCAAGGTTAAAAACTTCAAGATACCAACATTTTCATATTTTCCACATCAACTGCTACAATTTTCTGGCAATTTAAAGTCCAAATCCAAGTTCACTTTTTACATAAATATCCTCAGCATCCTGAACTTCAAACTGTCCCCTACAGTGTTTCTTCTCTGCTACAAGATGTACCCAGCATCACTTAACCCCGAGGACATAACAGTGAGTGCACGTTGTCATGGGTCCATGCCGTGCATTCACTGCTTAATAGTGCAGAGCGTGGCACTGACATCATTTCAGTGCAACTGCTCTCTGCATGTTGGCTGCTTAGCCGGGAGAAGAGGTGAAGAGAACCCAGTGGCATCATGTACCTTCCCTGAAAACTTTGAGAGTTGGGCTTTAAACCAATTTTAACCAGCTTTTGATTATTACGATCCAAAAGGATTGAAAGAATGAATGCAATATACAATTAACAAACCAAATCGACTGGCAAAGTTTGATCCCTTTTATGGATTGAAACTTTTATTGATTGCAATTTTACTGGATTGAACATTAAATAACAACTGAAAGAATAATTGCGGCCAATAGAAATTGAGTAAAAGTAGGAACCCCATTTAAAAAAAAAATCAGAGAGAAAGTGATCAGATTTTTCTCAGTGTTCAATCGGAGTTTCTTTAACTCAACTGCCTAGTGGTAAATTGAAAATAATTGATTATTCATTCAATTTTTTTAAACTAAAACTTAATTGAAACAGAGATGAATGATCAGATTTCCACATGTATGGACATCATAAAAGCCATTAGATAAAGGATCATTGAACATTATAAAAAATTATAGAAATATTGTACATGTAAGGCACAAAACTACCGAACTGGATTCGATTCTTTAAAATGCCAATCTCCCCAATACATTTTCCCATTAATGTGGCTGATGTCCAGTCACATGTCATATTTATGTACAATGAACATTTGGGGGCAAGAGATCACCACCAGAACTTTACATTTCAACTACTGCAGCAATTACAAACCCAAATAAAAATGCATTGTGAAAGGAAATCTCAGAACAAATAACTGCGAATAGAGTTCTGAGTAACCCCTACAGTAAGGCCCTGTACATGGAGAGGACAGAAGAAAACCTGTGGAAAAATCTTGATACTTGGATATCAAGCTATAACAACAGGTGATTCAACATATTGATGGCATTGACAATTGGTAGGCAATGGGTGGATCTGGCCTTAATTGGATTTGCCCTTTCAGCACGCAAGGTCATTTTTATAGTGCTCACTGAAAGAGTAAAGGTGCCCATACACTGCACGATTATCGTACGATAATCGTATGCGATCGGGTTTTCGTACGATAATCGAGCAGTGTGAACGGAGACGTGCGACCGTTTCTACTGTACGGTCGCACGTCTTCTGTCGAACCAGCATGTTCGAAAACCAGCGGGGAATCGTACGATTCTCGGCTGGTTAGAACGGTGCTCAGAAGACAAATGCTGAACGGGCCGGTGTGCGCACGCGCACACTGCCCGTTCAGCATTGCGGTCATCGATGCGATGATCGAGAGTGTGATCTGCCTGTCCAAGATAGGCAGATCGTACGTTTTTTTAATCCCTTTACAACCATCGCAAGACTAAAGTCTTGCGATGGTTGTAGAGTGTATGGCCACCTTAAGTATAATTAATTAAGATTAAAGTAGCCTTTCTATTAGAAAATGAAGTAACTAAAAGACTTGTACAGTTTGGAAACACCATTCCCACTATCTGAACACCAACATATGTTACCCATAAATAGACCGCTCCACAAAAGGCCTCCGAAACCTCCCATGTGTAAAGCCACTGCATGACTATAATCTGTGATGAAATAGGCCCTGAAGGTTTGGGTATTATAAGTGTGCCCATAGCTACATAGCCTAATTCAGGCCCTGTTCCTTTTAACAGGACTATTGTTATATTTTCATTTAATATTAATCTGCAATATTCATTTAGCAGACTAATTTTATGTGAATCCCTGGGTGGAATATTGCAGTCTTTGTGCAACTTACCGTCAGTTTAATAGCTTTTTCCGGGGCAACGCCTACTAGTTGTGGTAGAAGACCTGCACAGGAGGCACAAAAATAAATCAGGGTTTTATAATGTAAATCATAGAAGTGCACTGTTTACATCTCCATTCACAGCAGTAGTTCTGAGCTGCTACAAAAAAAAACAAAAAAAAACACACACACTATATAGAACACTTTAGGTGATTTCTACAAAGAACCATAACACAGTTTTTGAAAGTGCACTGCTCGCTGTTTCAGAAACCCAATGAAAGCTAAATGTCCATCAGTGCACTTGATGTCAAGGCAGAAAGTAGGTGTGCTAGCTAGATGAACACAGAGGCAAAAAAGAAGCAGTTGCCTAGAGATACAATTTAGATTCATTGTTTCATTCTCATACCTTTGGTCCAGCTTTCATAAATAAGCCCCAGGAGTGATATCACTATATTACATGGCAAACCCTGGAAGCATGTTTATATACCCCCCAACAAATGCAGAATTGTCTTCTGGGTAGTTTTGCACGGCAGATCAGTAAGTGAGAACCATGCCCACTGGATACGGATTCACCCTAGTGTGACACATGGAGTTCTGATGCTTCACATAATGACAGAAATACCAGCCCAGTGCTGAGGTGGGGCATTGGGACAAAACAATACAGTCCAAGGATCAGTCTTCTGGTTCTTTAAAGGCTGTGTGATTGCTTTAAACAACCAATGAGTGGCACATTTAGAGTTACCATTCCAAATTTGGTATTACCTACCTAGAACTCCTTTCTCTTTCTGTAGGGGGTAATTTGCATAAATCAGCCCAATTTTTTGTAAAGGTGGAGTGTATGGAACAAAGGCATTTGCTTTTTTATGTCTTGATAGGGAAGAGAGAGGAAGTGAGCAGCACAGGCAGACACTCTAAACACCTATTATTTGAGGGGACCTCAATAGTCATCAACAAACACACACATAAAAAGTATACTACGAAGTACATGAGCAGGAATGCTGTGGCAGAACGTTCCAGGGTAGATTGATAGGGAAGAAAGAGGATTTGAGCAGCACAGGCAGGCACTTCTTATCTTAGGAGATCTCAATAGTCATCAGGGTGGTTTTCTAACCTGCCCTATTAACTGTCCCCCTCATGCCTGGCCAGTAGGATTAAGGCCAACTGTGAGCACCATCATTTTCATAGTTTATAGGCAGAGTTTTCACTCTGCTGTGCTTAAATTAAATGTTTGCTTTCTTCAGCTTAAAAATAGTTATTTTAGTTTTGCAACATTTTACAACTCCTGCTACTTCTGGTCCCCCACTTGAGCATTGAAGATATGACAGACACTAGCATAGTATTGTGCCCCATCTATGACTGACCATTCAAAAGATTGCAGCATGCAATGGCACTGCAGTCATACATTTTGTGAATGGCCAAGCGGAGATTTGGCAGGGAGACGAAGTACAGCAGAGGGTGTTCTATCCAGCAAAAGTAAGAATAATACTTTTTATGCTGACATTTACAGGGCTATTCACAAAAGGGTGAAGGGTTTGGAGAAGGCAGGAGAAGTGAACAATCTAAGACAACATAGCTGATCTGGAAAGTGAGCTGAACTGGAGAATTTTTCCAAATCAGCTATTTTGGCCTAGATTGTTCACTTCTCCAAACTCTTCACCCATTTGTGAATAACCCTGTTAGCGTTTGAAAAGCAAAAAGTTAAACACCTAGCCCACTGAAGCTATAAAATACTTATGGTGCCTGGAGTTTGGCTTTAAGGGCCTTCCATAAATATAAAATTGCAACTCGTTAAGCCAAAAACAGCCAGATTGGTTAACGACGAATGTCTATGGGTAACTTGGCAAGTACTTTCTCTCTCCAGCTTTTGGCCTGTAGGTTACTTTTCTCTTACAGTTCATTAGAATGACATGTGGCTTACACCTAATACTCACAACCAAACCTCTCAGTAATACTATGGTAACAAGTGGGGCCAAAGCAAGCAGCTGTAAATCTTCACACTTCCGAAATTTAAACTCCCCACACAAAAAAGAACCCCCAAAACTGTTTTGTTGTGTGCATATTTCATTGAGCTATGCCTCGGTTTTGATACCTAATGTGGTAAATCTGTGTTGACACGAACGTATAATTAACCCAATCAAATGTTGCTACCATGCTGTTTTCTCCTACAAAACACACATATTCACATTCATACATTTTATGTACATTTGTATTGCTGATAGAAAAGGGAAACACAATTAAATACAAAAGGCTCATTCAGACAGCAGAAAAATAAGTTTTTGTACTCCACGTTTTGCAGAAGGCAACAACCCCATACACTTCAATTAAGTAGAATAATATTCAATCATTACTCAATAGAATTATGCAATTTTGCATTTTATAAAAGCAATAATTGAAAATTGCAGTGTCTTTGTTCCCTTCACTTTATACTAAACAGATATGTGAAACTTTAAAAATAATCTTCAATTAAAGGAAGTCCAAAAGTGTTTTTAAATTAGACATTAAATTTAATAATTTTGGCCTAAAATAAAACTCTTTGAATAAGATGTGGCACGTAAAAGTGTACTGCTACAGGACTAGCAGTCAGCCCCGCACTTATAATCACAGACATAGTAGTAGTGGGCGGGGCTAAATGATCAAGGTGATTTTAGAATAAAAGGACAAAACCACTTTCCGAAAAAAAATGTTCCACACAGTCTTTAGTCTGCCTTTTGACACCAGCCTCCTTGTGTAAGATATAATTTAGAGTTTTAATAATCAAAATAGCATCACCATCTCCCATGGCACTGTATAAAGACAGAAATATTTGATAAATTGCAAGGTAAAAAAGGAAATAGAGAACCAGCCCTGCCCATGCAAGCTGACTATCCAGAGCAGCGTTTCTCAAATAGGTTTGCACTTTTTTTTCCACTGCCTAATAATGTAAAATGTATTCTTCCCACTGATCATCATTAAAAAGGGGCCTTGTAGCACTAACCACCTTTGAAAGGGGTCTCTTCTCCCACTGATCACCAAGTAAGGAGTCCTTCCCCAACTGACCACCAAATAAGGGGGCCCTTCTTTCATTGACCACCAATGTAAGGGTTCAAGAATGGGTAGAAACTAAGCACTGGATGCACATATTCAGCCAGTAGAAAAAGTAATTGTTAGAGCCTGATCTTAGAGCTTAGGTTTGGCAACTCTCCACAAAACGCGGACTCTCCCAAGAAGTGGAGGTCACCAAACAAAGAAATTCAATTGTAGTTGAGCCAAAATGAGCACTAATCAAAAGTGTCAGTGAGAAAATAAAAATAAAAAGGCATTCAACATACTTCGGGGCAACAAAAGATAGCCATTGACAAATATATTAAAGATCTGCGCTCCTGGAGCTAATTAGGAACAATATAACCTAAAGCTGCTATGAAAAAGGGGAGGATAGGTCCCTGAAAATAATTAAAAAAGACACAGCACTAGAGGTGAAGGACTAATGTGCTATATTAGTCGTTATAAAATGTAGTGAATATAGGTGATATTAATGGTGAGTATATTAGTGAGTAATATTAATAAATATATTATTGTGTTGACATTTTATATTAAACAAACCTAATAAAACCAATATTTGTGCAAAATCCTTTGTGAAAAAATGGGATTCAGAAATATAATGACTTAAAAAACCATACTGTAAATAGTCTTGTTGTCTCATTGCCACTTGAAAGAATAAAAAAACAATGTTGGACTCTTCAGACATTTGTTTGGTGCTCGATCAGGCTCAACTACACCAGTGTTAAGGTGGCCAGACACTGTACAACCATCGCAAGACCTTAGTCTTGCGATGGTTGTAAAGTGATTAAAATCCCCAATGTACAATTACATTTACAAACTGTACATAGAAATAATGTTTTTGAAATGTGAACAAATAAGTACAGATTATGATTTTTTTTCCCACTCAAATCTCCTCTTTAATATGAAGGCATTTAGGAATTTGCACACGGAGAAAAGGCTGCAATTTTGCAAATCAAAGGTGATTTTAGCTGAAAATCTTTTTTCTTTTTCTTAAACTGAGAATGGCACTTCATAATGATAAAGACTCATCACACAGTAAATTCAGTCTTCTCTGCTTTTGTTATATTCATCACATATGTTATAAGAAATATAGAAAGCGCGCATGCTTATAAATTACAGAGATATACATTCAGCTATTGATTAAAAATGCCCATAATTTATGAACATTACTATCAGAAGAACACATGGTAGAACAAAAAAAAAAACTTCAAAAACAGTTTTATTTATCAAATTTGAAAAATAGGGTCAGGGCTGAGTGCTCAGGGACCCAGTTGATTTCATAGCATGTGTGTTCTAACCTCAGCCTGAACTCCATTGCAGATGTTCATGAAATAAGACGATTCCTGACGTCTTAGCACATGGAAAGCAGTTATGTTCTGTCCGCTCCTCCTGATTGCTGATTGTGCCGACATGTAGACACTCTTCAAAGGGCACTTACATTAAAGATATATCATTTAGGCCTCCATGCCTGCTGTATTTAGCTGGCACTGGGTAGAATCTTGCAAAGGAACTCTAGCTAAAATTATGATTTAGAGTAAATCCACACATAACCACCAATTTCCACTTCCTGACTATCGCACACTTTCATATTTATTTATTATTGGTATTTATATAGCGCGGACAATTTACATAGTGCACATTCACATCAGTCCCTGTCCTCAAGGAGCTTACAATCTAAGGTCCCTATCTCACATTCATACATACAGGGCCAATTTAGACAGGAGCCAATAACCCTTTGGAGTGGGAGAGGAAACCGGAGTAACCGGAGGAAACCCACGCAAGCAGAGGGAGAACATGAAAACTCCTGGCCGGGATTCGAAGCAGGGCCCCTCAGTGCTGCAGGCAGAAGCGCTAACCACTATGCCACTGTGCTTTTATAGTAATGGTTGGAAACGTAAAAAAAGACCAGTAATACTATAATTTACTGCAGGATACTTAACTTTGGGCTTTCACAGTAACTTGTCACATGACCAAATGCTTAAATACTTGTGACTCTTATGACTTACCTGAAAACCTAAAACAACGG